GATTATGGGGAAGACCCAACATGTGAGATTAGACCGGGTATGATGTTGATGTTGTAGCCATTGTGAATTTGGGCAGTTTTTGATCCATAAAGTGCAAAATTATTGGGGTTTTCATTCGCCATTCTCTTAGGGGTTGTGTGGGATTGTGGGATGGCTACCTTCTATTGGGTTTATTATTTTGTGAATGAAAAACATGAGGAGTGAGGTTTAGTCTAGTTTGCGTCTTTTATTTTTATGCATGTTTGGAGTTACCATATAACTCATGAATAAAAGTCTTATGCACTATGTTATTGCACGTTTATACGTGAGTGATTACTTGTACGGTTTTGCCTACTAAATACTCCATTATGCTTGCTTGAACTTGTTCAATAGTATTCTATTAGAATCCAGTGAGATCAGATTATATTTGTTAGAATTTGCAACAGCGAAATGGTCCTTATGGAAGACAGGCTCATTTATTATGATTTTAAAAAAAACAATATTCTTATATTATATCATGTTTAGATTCACCTACATCGTCTCAGTTCTAAGATGTCATATGATAGAGTGATTCTCTGATGGAGATTCAGTTTGACTGAAGAAGTAGCTACGAGTTGTCCTTTAGCCTTGCTCGTCATATCATTTTATGGATACATTTGTCTTTGGTGACTATTTGCTTTTTAGAATATTATATCTTTCTGGATGTAGTTGACTATTAGCACATTATTTTACTACCATACTATTCAATTAAAATTTCTTTACTTTGCTTATCTTGTATTGTAATTAAACAAAGTTTCCTTTGGCAGGTTAAGGTTTCAATTACTAGAATTGGCTCCATAAGGAACAGCCTCCAGGCTTTTTATAGGAATTGAAAAAGAATAATGAGACATTGGTTTAACAATGGTTGATATCAGTGTTTCATTATTGAGGTTGCTGAACAGCTCAGACTTTTTTAGTTCCTATATCTTCGCATGGTTGGTCACTGGATCTCTTGGACTCTTGGTTGTTATATATGTATTGCTTAAGTGGCAACGGAAGACATCTCTCAATTGGGTTAAAGCTGCTGCTGTAGCAAAGAAGCAAGTGTGGGAGAAGCTGAAGGTTCCCTTATCACATCATACGTGGGTTGAAGATTTTGCTTATGGTGTACAACCTTCCACATGCAGTGTGTGCTTCTCATCACTTGTTTCTCCACATAACTTAAGTACAAAAGCTGCATCACATTCTCCAGTACATCGTTGCTCTATTTGTGGTGTTGCAGCACATTTTTGTTGTTCTCAGTTTGCCGCAAAGGATTGCAAATGTGTTGCACAGGCTGGATTAAGCCATGTGCGGCACCATTGGTCCGAAAGATGGACCAACTTGGATGAGAATCCTGAGATGTCTGCATTTTGTTTCTATTGTGACGAACCTTGCGGTGTTCCTTTTCTTGATGCATCTCCTACTTGGTATTGTTTATGGTGTCAACGATTGATACATGTCAAATGCCATGCCAAGATGTCTGAAGAATCTGGTGACATTTGTGATTTGGGTCCTCTCAGGAGGCTTATTCTCTCTCCACTCTATGTTAAAGATGTAGAAGCTGAGACAAAAGGTGGTACAATGTTAAGTTCTCTGGCAGAAAAAATGAATGGCAATGGGCACATCAGGCGAAAGCGTCATCGGAACAAACATGGAAATGACCTCATAAATGGTAAAGTGCAAGGCAGTTCTGCCGCAAAGCTAGCTCTGGAATATGTGATCAGATCCCTGGCGTCTTTGACGCTTTCCAACAGTGAGAGGAATAATGGCTACTCTGTAAAATGTAACAAGCTGGGTGGCAGAAAAGGTAGCCAGAACAGATTGGCCTGGAACAATCAGGAAAATAGAATCTTGGGCAGATCGAAAAAGTATGCACTAGTGGATTTGCCTCAGGATGCTAGACCTCTTTTGGTTTTCATAAACACTAAAAGTGGAGCTCAAAATGGTCCTGCTCTAAGAAGGAGATTAAACATGCTGTTGAATCCTGTTCAGGTGAACTTTTAATTTAAGGCTAAGACTTAAGTAATAATCCTGCATATTTAGCTGTCCCACACACAGCTCTATTTAGAAGAAAACACTAGAATAATTAGCTAATGAGTAAATTATAGCAGATGTACTTAAAAGACTATCTGAATGGCTCAACTTGGCTCTTACACTTACGTAAGCCAGTAGCTTGGCCCGATCTTTTGCTATGGCCAGGATGTACATCATGCTTCCAAATCACAAATGCTCGTTCTCTCTGACATGTCTTCTTCATTTAGAATGTGATCTATCATCATCATCATTTTCCTGCTTATTTTGTAACTTGAAATAATCTAAGTTCTGGAGTCATTTGTTTGATTAGTAAGTTCTAATCTAGTGAAAATTACAGAAAGGCATTCTTTTAACTGTCGTTCTCCTTTCCTCTATTGATTTATCTGTCATGAAAAGTGTTGTTTCTATGTTAAAGCAGTTCAAACTGCATAAGAATTTCATTTTTCATAATTGCAGGTATTTGAACTTGGTCAGTCCCAAGGGCCTGAAGCTGGTTTAGAATTATTTAGTAACTTGCATTACTTTCGTGTCTTGGTCTGTGGTGGTGATGGGACTGTTGCCTGGGTCCTTGATGCAATTGAGCGGCTTAACTTTGAATCGCCCCCACCAGTAGCAGTTCTTCCTCTGGGAACTGGAAACGATTTGTCTAGAGTCCTGCAATGGGGTGGTGGATTTGCGATGGTTGAAGGGCAAGGTGGACTAAGACCCTTTCTTCATGATTTGAACCACGCTGCTGTTACAATGCTTGATCGTTGGAAAGTCAATATAATTGAAGAAAAATCTGCCTGTGACACCCCTAAGGTGCAATCAAAGTTCATGCTGAATTACTTGGGTAATCTTCCATCTGTTTGCATATTGTCACTTGTTGTCTTATTTGATTTGGGGTTTGGATGCCATTTGCCTGCCCTAGGATGGGGAAAGGCGGTTTATGATGCTAACCCAGAATTCAATGAAAAGTTTCTTTTATTCTGCTATTTCTATCTGTGATGCTTGGACCTGTACTGCTCTACAAAATGTAACGACTCTCAATGCTGCTTGCATGTCCTGTCACTAGTACCTTCTTGTCTATCAAATTAATCTTTTCTATTACAGGTATAGGATGTGATGCAAAGGTTGCATATCAATTTCACATGAACAGGGAAGAAAACCCTGAGAAGTTTAACAGTCAGGTATGAACATGCCATTTTGAGCCTCAGTGATCTATGAGCTGCAGTTGTTTCATAATGATAACATAATATATGAGAATGCTTATTTATATGTTCTTGAGAAAAATCTTTCCAGTTGCTCATATATGTTCTCCGGGAAATAATATATAGAAAAACAATGGACGTCTTTGAAGATGATTGGTTTTTATTGCTTGTTGTCAATAGATTACCATGCTTTTGTTTTCTTGTATTTTAATTAAATTCCATTTGGAAATGTACTGTCTGTGTGTCTAAAGAAGCTTCTCCTACAGTTTGTAAATAAATTGCGATATGCAAGAGAAGGTGCTAGAGATATAATGGACAGAACTTGTGCAGATTTGCCATGGCAAGTATGGCTTGAAGTTGATGGGAAGGACATAGAGATTCCCAAGGTACACATTGCAAAATCTGGAAGTCAAACTGCTTCTTGCTTTTACATTTGTAATTCCTAATTGATCCCCTTATTTATAATCTATCAGGATACTGAGGGCTTAATTGTGCTAAATATTGGTAGCTATATGGGTGGAGTTGATCTGTGGCAAAATGAGTTCGAGCATGATGATGACTTCAACCACCAGTCGATGCATGACAAAATTCTTGAAGTTGTTTGTGTTTCTGGAGCATGGCACCTTGGGAAGCTACAGGTATGGAAAAGTTTCCTTGTACTTCCATTTCTATCTATTCATCAAGTCTGCCTCTTTCACGTTTTACCCCTTTATTATTGCTTTCAGTCTTTTTCTACTATTTAACTTTCCTTGTTACAATCCTTTTCTTTTAGGTTGGACTTTCTCAAGCGAGGAGACTAGCCCAAGGGGGGACTGTAAGGATACATGCTTCTAGTCCTTTCCCTGTCCAAATTGATGGGGAGCCTTTCATACAGCAACCGGGTTGTTTAGAAATAACGCATCATGGACAGGTACCTAAATTTCCTCGATCGAGTTAACACAAGTCCTGACATGAAATGACAGTACATTGTGTAAAAATGATAAAAGCTGGTTCTAATTATTTTAAAATTTGGAACCTTTTGTATGTATGTTGCCCGATTTCAGAATAATGATCACACTAAAACAACAACATACCCAGTGAAATCCCACAAAGTGGGGTATGGGTAGGTAGAGTGTATGCATACCTTACCCCTACCTCGTGGAGGTAGAGAGGTTGTTTCTGACTTATGATCAAGTGGATATTTCTGAAACAGTATATTTAAGAATGGCAAAACATTTCGTTGCTTATGCAGTTTCAAGAGGACTTTACAGAGAGTTAGGTTGATACTTCAAAATACCTGTCTTTATTTGTTTTAAGCATATACAATGGTATTGGCATCTATGTATTCTTGTTTTGGACTTAAAAGACTGTGCATAAGGCTGAATTCATAAATTGGACTCCACAAAATGGGTTGTAAATTTAAGCTTATTCATTTAGTTATTTAACCCTAAATGGCTTTGACATTCTATGGTAAGCCAGCTCTATACTGGCTTGGTATTTTCCTGTAAACTAACCCCTGAGCGATGTTATTTCTTTGATGACATAGTTATGTAAATAGTTAAAATGTTATTATTTTCTTCTGGTTGAGATTTATCCTCTGCGACATAGATAATTGTGTGCTTTGATCCAAAATCTTTTGCAACTTTCAGCAAGAATGTGTCTTAACTTGCTTGACTTCGTTCAAAGTTATCAAGATTCTTGCTGAGTTAATTGTCTTTCTGGCTGAAACTCAAATTGAAGGTTTCGTTCTTATTCCCAATCTGGTTTCTTAATCTTCATCCTGTACTATTTCCAGATGTTCATGCTGAAGAAGGCATCAGGGTCCAACGAGCCTAGAGGTCACGCGGCTGCTATTATGACAGAGGTTCTAGTGGACGCTGAATGTAAAGGTCTCATAACTGCAGCTCAAAAGAAGGTACTTCTTCAGCAGATAGCTCTCCAGCTTTCTTGATTTTCACTTCTATAGACTGACCTCATTCAGCTCATACAAACAAAACTTTAGTCATTCACATTCTTTTCTTTTGTTTTTCTTACTCTATTTTTCTAAACCGGTAGTTTGTACGGAAGGAAAACTTTTGTACACTAAAAGATTTTTTAGACATAGGAGATACGAGATAATATAGAAGACGCGAGTTCCAAATGTAAATTTTGAGTACACAGTATTCTTCTACAAATCTTAAAGCTTTTGCAACATGAAAAGTTCTTTGTTGTTTCACAAAGGGCATCTATTATTCATTTGTAAGACGTATTGCACAAAAACCACTTTGATCAGGTATTGTTTTGGATGGTATGATAACAACCTAGATAGTTGATATGATTGTTCACTACATAACATACTTTGGCTACTTTTTTTCGTTCTCCTTTTGAGTCAAGAAACAACCTCCTCTGTACCTTCTTCGACTTTACCTATTGAATACGTTATTATTGGCCATAGTAAGTGTTTACGTTGTGCTTTGTAGACATATATTGCTCTTGGAATATGATTCACTATTTGTTTCTTAATCTCTTGGATAGGACAAGTATTGTGCTTGTTTCCTTAAGGAAGAAGTTAAGTTCATAAAAAAGAGGTATTTGTTTGAGTTGTCCAAAGTTGCAAATTGAATAATGAATACATCATTTAATTAGTTTGTAGTACTAGGTTAAAAGTATGTACCTTTTTTCATCTCAATCCAATTTTTTCTTCTCTTATTATTATTATTATATATATAGTAGGAATAATGTAGAAGAAAGTCTACTAAATGACGTTCAAAAAAAGGTTTCTATTTTTGGGAAACCAAAAAGAAGCATACAATTGGATCAACTTGTGTAGAATGAAGACAAAAAAAGAGTAATTGAACGTAAACGTAAAAAGCCCACCGTTGGAGTCTTATATAAAAATAGATTATTTTTTTTAAAAAAATTAAATCATGTTAATACTAGCCTTATATAATTTTCAAATTGTTTAATTCATTAATTTTAAAGATGACATAATTATCGCAATGAATTTAAATAAATGGAATGTGATTTTTTAAAATATCATTGTATTTATTTCAAAAAACGAATAAATAGATTGATGAAGATTTAATATAGGTAACACCCAAGTGGAATATGAACTACATCATTGACACATAAATTGATGCAAAATTTCATTTTATGCCCACTTGTTGTGGTCCAGAATTTCATTCATAATTTAATTTAATATATGTAACCCTATTTATTTATAACATCGCCTACAAAAAATTAAATATGAATTTTGATGCATGATCAAACAATGAAGATATCACAACTAGACAGTCCTTTTTAGAATATGATTTATTATTATTATACACTAGCTATTACTGCTCCCATAGCCCACTGGTTCTTAATCTGGTTTTCCTTTTTTACTTGCATATATATAACTAACTATAATGTAAAATACGAATTTCTTGTAGCTTTATCCCAACAATCCAAATTTTCTTGTGGATATATAAACCAACTCTCCATGATGAGTAGTAGCAAAAATGGCAAATCATTTCACAAGTTTTTCGAATCATGGCTTGTTAAACAGAGTGAAGATTTGGATGAGCTTGTACGTGCCTCGGAAGAATACAAGAACAACAATGACATGCTGTTGTCACCTTTAATACATAGTGTGGTGAAACATTACGAAGAATATTATAGAGAGAAATCGCAATACGCAGCTAGTGATGTTTTAGGCATGTTGCACCCCTCATGGTTAAGTAATCTTGAAGATGCATTCTTATGGATTGGTGGATGGAGACCTAGCATGGCTTTTCATTTGTTATACTCAAAATCAGGTATACAGCTTGAAGCTAATCTCCATGAGTTGATTAGAGGGTTTAGTAAAGAAGATTTAGGAAATTTAAGTGGTCAACAACTTGGATTGATTGATGAGTTACAACACAAGACAATTAGTGAAGAAAGAAAGTTGAGTGAAAAGTTAGCTATAGTTCAAGAAAGTGTAGCTGATACATCAATGGTTGAATTATCACATGTTGTGAGTGAATTAATGAGGGAACAATTAGTTGTTCATGAGGAAGAGGAAAAAAAAATTGGTAAAAATATTAGTAAAAAAGAGGAAAGTTTATTGGATTTGTTGAAAAAAGCTGATGATTTAAGGTTGAGTACAATTAAAGAGATCTTGAGAATTTCGACACCAATTCAAAGTGTTCATTTCTTGATTGCTGCTGCTGAACTTCATTTGAGGGTTCATGAATGGGGTAAGAACAAAGATGCTCTTCTTTCTCCTCATAAATGGTCATGTCAAACAATAAACGACGAGGGGACGTCTGTCAGAAATTAGCCATTCACAAACGACGAGCCAAATTCTGAGGAGACTTCTGTCAAAAATTAGCCATTCAGAATCATACAGAGATGTTAGATCATAAACGACGAGCCAAATTCTGAGGAGACGTCTATCAGAAATAAGATATACATAGAGAAGATTGGTACTTGATAGTACTAATTATCAGGTAGTTGTTATAAGATGAAGTTCTTTTTTAGGGCTTTTTTTTTTTTTGCTTAATTTCTGTTTTATGTAGTGACATGATTAGTTTAAGAATTTAAAATCTTTTTTTTTACTTCTTTTTCTTTAGTTCTGTTACTGATGCAGAGCTATGATAACATATTTGTTCCGACTCTTTAAAAATATCATTAATGTGAAATCGATCAATAATATTTTAGAGAGTTAGGGTACTTGGATTTTCTAGTATTGAATGAAGATATTTAGACCCTTGTGTTAAAAGTAGGCTAGTCTCTTTGTTTTTATCTTATAAGACGGTGTTTTGAAATTTAAGAAAGAAATACTTTTGCAAGATAAAAAAAGGAATTTACAATCTTAAACATGTCATGTCATTGAGTGTCGTTATGGTAAAACGTAAATCATTCTTTTTGAGACAAACACGAGGAAATGAAACCGATAAAACCATTAGACAATGAACAAGAATTGTTTACTCAACTGCAATTTGACAGTCAGTTACAAACACATGAGATGATGAATATAAAAACCAGCTAATTGACATCAAGAAAACAGAAAAAAATTAGAAAAAAAAAAACAAAACAGCAGTCAGCAAAAGTTGAAGTTTGTCATGTAGAGTTGTCATGAGATAATCTTAAAATAACAACCAAATTTTCTTTTTTTTCGCGAATTCTTCAAAATACATCAGAATTCAACACTCGTACAATAACATTTTCAAAGAGTTTGAACAATATAATTTGATTTCGACTCAAGAAGTATGCATTAACCATTTGCTAAAATTTCATTGAACAAAAATGTAGAACTAGTAATGTTGAGTTGAGGATTTGTCATTTGATAATAATAATAATGAAGATTCAGTTACAACTAATACATAAAATCTAAACTCAAAACATTAAACATAAAACAGCAAATCCACAACAAAACTTGAGTCCTCCATGGAGACAAATGATCCCAAAAAACCTGAAAATCAGAAAACAAAAATTAAAAAATGATACAACAGAAGAAGAAATGTATGCAGTAATCGTTATAATAAACAAGAAATTTACATACTTATAGCTCATCTTTTGCTGAATCTGTTGTTACTGATTCTGGTTTAGTGGAATCAGCTTTGACAGAAGATTCTGAGTGATGAGCAGCAGGCTTATCGCGATTCTTTTCAATAAACTCGATGATGGCTTCTTTTGTTCTATCACCTTCATACTGGGATATGTTACCAGAAGCAGATTTGAAGTACAAAGTTGGGAAACCTTTAATGTCAAATTCACCTTTTGGAATGTCATTTGCAGTTGCATCCTGATTCACAACAGTATAAACAAGTAAGTATATGTATCGCGAATCTGTAACACAATCACCTGTATTTAACTACACCATAGTTACTTACAAGTTTTGCAATCAGAACATCAGAATCTTTTTCGAATGATAAAGCTACTTCATCCAAGATTGGAGCTAGTGCCTTGCAGTGGCCACACCAAGGTGCATAAAACTCTAGCAGTACATTTTTCCCCGAGTTGAGAACCAAGTCTCGGAGGGTATCCCTAACCACCACCTTCACTGGCTCGTTGTTAACCTCAGGGATCGGTTCTGATTTAAAAAATTGCTTCAATTTACCATCCTGAAACCATACAAAAAGGGAAAAAATGAGGAAAACTAGCAATCCGTCACTTAAATGCAGATAACACCTAACCAAATGATACTCAGCTACGTTGGTTGTCCGTTTAAACTACCTTGTAATCCTTCAACCATGAAGCAAGAACATCAGGTTGTACATGTGTACTGATATACTTTTCGCCTTCATTCACCATTATTATGATCACAGGTGCCTGTTCGGGCTCCAATCCAAAGTACTGCAATCCATATATCAAATGAAACAGTAACATGTGACGTTATATGGTCATTTGGAAAAGCTAATATTAACGAATCAGATAGGCTGAAACAATGTTACTCACTTTGAAAACACCTGCACCAGCCTCAACATCTCCCAACAGAAAGCTCAATCCGTCTCCCTTGTATGACACAGCGACATCCTTATACTTGGACTGAAAAGCATCGAACTCAGTGCTGAAGTTCACGAAAATCAACACCTGCGTATCACAAATTCATGGTGAGTAAAATCATCAGAGCTCCGCAAGATATGAACTTGTCCATCAGGTACCTTTGCATTGGGAGTTTTAAAGAATTTGCTAACATAGACTTGGTTTTCTGGTTCTTGATCGAAAATAGTGACAATAGGAACAGTAGCTTCTGCAATGAACTTCTCCGCTGCATCAACATCAAAATCCTGCACGGATACACGCTAAGTATCATTCTAACTGAAGAAACAGATCCATATCAGACAACATAATCATAAAGGGAAAGAATATACAACCTCAAAATCAACAAAAAGCTCATCGAATGGCTTAAGGAGACGAATAGTTGGCTTATCAACTGGCTCACCCCGAGGGAGTAGTTTAGCATCAACAGTGTGAGCAAAAGCATAATCAGCTCGTAGTTTCTCAGCTAATGTTATAAACTTATCAAACTTCTCCCCAGAGAGTTCAGGAAACACACCAACCTGAAAGAAATCACAAGCATTTCAACAACCATGACAACATCTACAATATACTAAGCAATGATTGAGACGCGATAAAAGGTAACAACACTTACAACATTGATCTTTTTCTCATCTATAAGACTAGCAACATCTTCTTTCGACTTGATTTCAGCTGATGCAGGACCAGTTTGTTTCTTCAAATAAGCAACGATACCATCTGCATCGCGAGGACCTTTGTATTCTTGAACGTTCTTTCCTCCGTCTCTCAAGATCTTAATAGTTGGGAAGCCTTGAAGCTCATACTTAATAGCAAGTTCTCTACTTGCATCATCACTTGCATCAAGTTTAGCTAGAACAATTTGAGGATCATGACTACTCAAAATTGAAGCAGCTTTTTCATACTGAAAAAAAGATAACATTTTTATCACAAATCATATAACTTACAACAAACAATCAAAGTGGAAAATGTCAAATTAATAATCTTAATCAAGTTAGTACCTCAGGAGCAAGTTTCTTGCAGTGTCCACACCTGTTACATAGAAAATGAACTTATCAGATTTCAAAAAACAAATGCACCTGAAATAACTGAGATCTATGTTGCTCAGACTCTTCAAAAGTATAAACACGTGCATATCAAATCATTCAAAAGCTATACACGGATCGAAAAATTTACCGTTGATATATCCTAAAAACCCCTTTACAAAACAAGCTTAAACAACAAAATCCTCTTCAACACATATACACATAAGCGAATCCAGAATCTAGAGAGTTCTATATATATATATAAATATATACACACACTTTAAGCAAAAAAAAGAACGAGTTCAGTTAAACCTCAGAATCATCATAACATAGAAACAAAGGCAAATCCAAAATTTAGAGTTATATATGTATACAAAAGTTTTCGTCAAAAAACAATAAAACTCACCCTAAATCCATCTAAACATAAAAAGAAAAAAAAAATCCCAAGTCAATAAACAAGCAAAAAACATCCTTCACAACACACATAAACCGTTTAAGGCAAATTCAGAATTTAAAATTCTATATTTCAAATCTATTCACATATATATACACAAATTTTATACGAAACTAATCTTAAATTCACTTTCGAATAAAATAAATAAATAAAGAATTACCATGGTGCATAAAATTCAACAACAATAAAGTTGTATTTGGTGATAGTGTCAGTGAAATTTGTATGGTCTAATGTCAACACATATTCCTTTTCTTCTTCTGCTACACAAACTGAAAAAACAACACACAAAACTACTAAAACACCACTCCACTCCATTTTCATTTTTTTTCACTTTTTTTTATGTAATGAAAAAAAATAATGTAACTTTTTTTTTAATTGTTGTGACAAACTGATGAAAATGTTGGTCTTTTTATAATGTTTAAAAATTTGACCATGACAATATGGTTGATGACGTGTAAACATGTGATTGGTCAAAACATGTGTCAAAAAAGAATTATAATCAAAATCTGATTTATATTAAAGTCTTTTTTCTCATTCTTGGTGTATTGTCAAGTTTTTACCTTTTTTGGTTTTTTTGTTTCCTTGTGAAATATAATAATGTAAATATGGCAAATTATAATTATTAACATTGTACTAATATTTATTCATAATTTGGTCAACATTAGGATTAAGTTCATATTAACTTCCTTATATTTTAGATTTGACTACATAATACTGAGATCCATTTTAATTCAATTACCTTAACTTGTATATTTTCCATATTTGAATTTTTTTTGGTGAATATTATTTTTTTAAATATTTAATTGACCAAATATAAATGTTTTCTTGATGAGTCCAAGGCACATATAAAAGAAAAATTAAACATATAATTTGAATGATTGTGATGTGATTATTATAAATATGAATGCATTTTGTTTATTTTTTAAAAAGAATTATTCTAGCGTGTATTTTTAGGTATATATTAAAGTGTTTATATGACACTTATTTCATTTTTACAAGTCAAGATTTAGTTGGTTCTTATAATATTTTCAATTCTGAGTACTGTCTTGCTAATAATTCATTAAAAAAAAATTAAATACATTTACTTCCTTATTTATTTGATAGTATAATGGGGAAAAAAAATTGTAGTCAAATTGTAATATTATTGAAAAAGGAGAAATCAATTTTATTAGAGAATCTTTTATCGCCCTTTGAACTTGGGTGAAAACAAATTGCTCATATTTGACAAATACATTCTGATTTCTGACACCAAGTGTCAAAAAGTCTTCCAATAACACACAAAGCATTCAAATTATATATATATATATATATGGCCATTATTTCGATTTTAATAAAGAGTTATGAATTTTATGAAAATCTATGATTTTTATGAAAAATAGAAAACTTTAACGAAGAATTGTGATTTTTATGAGAAGTTACGACTTTACGAAGAGTTACAACTTTCATGAAAAGCTGCAATTTTTATGAAAATTTGTGACATTTCCGAAGAATAGCAACATTTTCAAATAGTTGCAGCATTTCCGACATGACACATTTTCTCTAATTTTAAAATAACGAAAATTCTAAACCACCTCATCTTCTTCACAATTTTATATTTATTTCTGTTAAATAACTCACTGCTTATGCTGATATTGACATATTTACTGTCATTGTTATCAAAAATAAATAATAAGATATAATAAATTTTATTTTCCTTTAACATTATTA